TCACTGCTCTATGTATCTTCTGCCTCCTTTCCATTTGCACAAGATGGCCTAATTCACCAGAGGGTCTGTTATCAGATTAACCAGGTGATCCATTTCAGACAGATTTCTGATCCAGACAGAGATCCATTTCAAGATGAATACTAATAGGCTACCAAAACATCTCCTCAACCCAGAGTTCTTTTCCAACGATTAACCTTATAACAGAGCTGAAACAATGCTGTTAATTCTAATGCAAACTAGAAAGAAATCCAAGAAGGAAACTGCACTCCCAACTTGAGATCTTGAACTCTTTACCATTCAGTTTCTTTCCTGTGAACCTTTGTGTTTTTTACTTCTTTAATGCAATCTCTTCTGAAATAATATGCCCTCTGACTTCAGATTAACAAAAACAAAAAAGCAAACAAACTTCTTTTTGACCCATCGTTTTCCGTAACAGTTTTATCTACTTTGACAGATTTTAAGTGCTATAGTCATTTCAACCAGTAATTGTATTTATATCATCATTGAGACTGGTACACAGTAGAGAAAAGCAGCTCAGTGTTTTTGGCTTATTGTTTAAATATCTGAAAACATTGCAGCTGGAAAGAATTCCATTAATTTGTGGCTAGCACCGATACATCAGCTTCAAAAGCTTCCAAGTAAACACAGGGAAATTGGCATTGCTATCTTGTGGCAAGAGGCAAAGAACAGAGTGGTGCAGAGTTCTCCAAGAAGGAAACATTAACCCAGATGTGAACAAGACAATGAATGAATTGTTCATTGGAACTTTTCAACCTTCCAGCTGTGAGTGGCAATTATAATCACCAATGCATCCAAAAACTCAAAAGAGATTTAAACCTGAAAATTACCCATCATAGCCCAGGCACAATTAGGTCTCCATAGCTCCATGAAGTAAAGACATCCCAATTTAACTTAGACACTGCAGAAAATTAACTTCTTTTTAGGGGAAATGGAGAAAACCTTGTGGTCCCCTTCAAACACACACACATATGCTCACACACCCTACATTTTAAAACAACTGGCATTCCTCTTGAAGAGTAAGCTCTTCATACTCAGTGCATAACTCTCCTTTCACTTCTACTCAGAAAGGCAATTTTTTTTCCTAATATGGTAAATATAATTTATTTGCAAATCAACCAGAAAGGATTACAGCTGGCTATTTTAGACCTTGAACCTCACAGAGTTGTGTTGTACTGTTAACTTGTTTTGCTCTGCTGAGAGACAGAAGTGTTTGTGTTTTTGCTTAGATGCTAACCTTCTGAATCATGAGTTTAAGAAATAGCTTAATGATTTTTAACAGTGACCAGATAATCAGATGGGTGTGCATTATCCTCTGCTATCTTACAGTTTCTCTATCAACGTGAACCTCCAATTCAGATTGCTTTCGGGCTTCTCTTCTTAAGGGGTTGTGTTTCTGTAACACGCATAGTTCAGCCAAGTGTTCCCTCCCATGTGCCATAAGGAAAGTTCCTTCTGGTAACATTTACTGTAACCAGCCAACATGAATGCGACTGTTTCAATATAATTTGTGTGCATATTACATAGAAATCTCTCTGATGTCACCTTGATATATATATATAATGCCAAAAAAAAAGATCTTGATTATATTATCTATCTGTTCTCTCTGGAAACTATTCCAAAGTTATTATCTGTTAAAAAAAAAAATCAGGTGTTAAAACATTGTTAATGGTTTTGACAAACTGAAAGTATTTTCAAATTATTTAAGGAGTACTTTTAGATATGTGCAAGAACATATATAAAATATAGTCATATTAATAACATTAATGTTAAAGTTAATATTTTAATGCTCATCAAAAAGAAAGAATTGAGCTTTTAGTAAAGGAAAGAAAACTACTACTGCAAATATTATAGCTAAGGGAACAATTAACAGCTCTTACTTCATGTAAGTCAAAGTATAATACCTGATTCTAATAGAACATTACTTTATTTTTTAAAAACAACTTTACATGCACAAGTTCCTGATTCCAAACATATAATACCACATTGGCTTTTGATCCATAAATTTCTATACAATAGCTCTTTTTAAGAGAAATAAAAATCTGAATCACATAACTTAGAACATTCGGCACACAATTCAAAGCTGTAAACATAAATAATTCTACTTTATTTTTATGGGGAAGAAGGACCTCTCTGTGGTAAGATGGATTTCTCTACACTATTATCTACAAATTTTGGTTGGAAAAAAACAAAATGTTTCTTGCCATTAAATGCAGCAAGCTCATGTGAATTTGATAAATCAAATTAAATATGTGTGCAATATATGTAAGATAGATTAAGAATGTATCCAATCTTTTTGTGCTCCATTAATAAAATGTTTATTTATAGGGGAGACGTCATGCACACGTTTTATGGGGAAGTCTTAAATCTGACTGTCTTTTATAAATTGGACAGAAGATTGTCCAGATGATGGATAGCCATCACAATTCAGGAATCATGAAACTAATTTTTCCAAAATTCCATTTCATACTCAAAATCCATATTTCCAAAAACTAAGCCAGGCACTGATGTGTCTGAGGAAACATTGAGCAAAAGGTGGGTTTTCTTTTACATTCCTTGTATAAATTGTAAATATTGGTTTTGTGTAGAAAACATAACATAATATCATAGATTTCATCTCAAAATTTTAATGCAAAATATAGTCTACGACTCTTGGCAATTAAGACATTTTTCCTATTATGTTTCACAGGGAGTGAAACTCTTTTAAATGTCTCTCCGTAATATTACATTCAAAGGTATATTCTAAGGCAATGATTTTCAAACTTTTAACTGGTGGTCACAGTAAAAACAAAAAACATCAACTACATTTTATATTGAGAAATGCTGCACACATATATGTACACACATACTACATAATATGTAGTATATATAGCATAGATTATATATGTATATACATACACATATATTTAATTGGAACTTAAGTTTAACAAAACTTTCCCTTATTAGAAGTTCTGCTCTTACAGTTTATATTCCACTCCATTTTTTTCTATTCTAAACAGGTATGTTTTATTTTTCCATACTGATAACGACCCATTACATTTTCCATGGTCCACCATCCAGGATTTAAAAACTACTTTTCTAATAATTTTGGTCCTGCCAATTTCTGTCTGGAGGCAGAGAGGTCTTCTGTACATTTTATGTCCCTGTCAGGTTCCCCACTATGTTCAGGACCCCAAAAAGTACAAATCGAATTCAGGTTCTTGAAAAATACAAGTGGAAAACAGTTGTTGATTAACGTAAAAATTTTGCCCGTGAAAAGATGGGTTTGTGGAAATTATCCGAAGAATGGATGGGCTATTCATACAAATGGATAATTTTTCACCAGTTCCCCCGGATTGAATCACACCAACAAAATTCATAGACTGAATTTCACCAGGATATCCCTCAGGGAGACATAGAGAGAAGTGTGTCTAATCACAGGGTGCTCAGGTACAGGGCATCACACACTTTAAGGTGAAGTTAACAAATCCCTGGTCGACCTTGTTAAAGTGACAAATTTGGTTGGAGAGAATTAAGGTAAAACTGAGATTCTGCATTTTTAACAAACTCAAAGATGAGGCCAGTGTTTTCTTTTTTTGTTTGTTTGTTTACAAGAAACACACTTTGTGTAGTAAGGCTCTATGGGAGATGGCGTTGTTCCTGAAAATGGACATTTAAGTTTTTTTAGGGTTGTAAAGATTATTCTTTTTGGATATTTATCCAGAAGAACTTTCCTTGATCAACTGTCTTGCGTTTGGGGGAAAGAACTACATTTTATTAAATTAAAGGAATTCAGGGCCTCCCCTGGTGGCCCAGCGGTTGAGCGCTGGGCTGTGAGGCTGAGGCTGCCCGCAGCCTCTGCAGCGCCGCTTCGTTCCCCAGCCGCCAGCGAGGTTCCCACAAAATTAATTAATTAATTAGTTAGTTAATTAATTAATTAAAGGAATTCACGTGTCTAGTTGTATACTTACTACTGATTTTCCATTATATCTTTTTGCTTTCTCAATTACTACTAATTTACATTCTGACAATGCCTCTTACTTGTATATATTGTTAATTTCATTTGTTTTTAGATAAAACATAAGACTCAAAACTCAGGATCTATGGCTGAGTCAATGTCCACAGAGCCACAGTCTGAACTTCAGCTAGTTTCTGAGTAGTCCTCACTGTCACCTACTCCTGCTCAACTTTCCGTGAATGTTAAGTGAAACTCTCCCTTTGACAGAGACCATTATGCCACCCAGCCTGTACTCAAAAGTAAAGCTTTGAGTTTCAAGTGTGAGGGAGGGAATCTGGAAGAAAGAAACCTCACTCCGTTTTCACATGAGGATACTGGGCGGTCAATGAAACTAGCCTAAGATTCCATTTTCCAACCACCAGAATAGGAAAACATCCCTCCCTCTGTTCGGTTTTTAAATGAAAGCATGATTACAGCTAGGCAAAATTATGCATGCCTTTGACTCAGAACATGAAAAAAAATGAATCCATTTATTAAAGTGGTATTTGTTTTGTTTTTAATTCTCTGTTACAGTTAAACTGTACAGACTTAAATTTAAAATGACTTTCATATTGCGCCTCAATTGATGATAACCATCAAAAGCTCATATTTTAATTTGACAGCAAATAAAATTTATAGTGGTGGGGAAAAGAGCTAGTTGAAAAGAAGAGAGGATGAAATTATTTCTAGACACAAATCTCAATGTATTCAATTCATGGACCTATCTTTTAGGTACGAACTAAAAAAGTACTTTTGTAAGTGGTTTAGCTACCAGCCATATTTTGCAGTTTTTAAAATTAAGATGTTAAAAACCACAGATGAGAATTATGAGTTTTTTCAATGTATTTGGTGAAAGTCAGATTCTAATTTTTCATGAATCCCACCTAGGCCAACGTAGAGAGATGCTACTAATAATGCAACTTTAAAGAAAAAGGGAAAAGAATAATATGATCAGTTTATCCTTTTTAGCTTAGGTGTTGAAAGAAAAATAATAATCTTTTCTTACCTGAAGTGTTGTCTCTTAGTGATCAGCAAGCAGTCCATCCTGTTTCCCATGGGGGTGGGGGTGGGGCAGGAAATGAGAAATAGGGTTCGAAACAAAAAAATATTTTATCACTGTGTGTTGCGTTGCCAACACTGCACTGACAAATGGAAGTCGTGGAGCAGGCTGTAGGATGCAGAATGCTGCTTCAAGAGCAAGATACTGGCCTTTTGCTTGATAGAAGAATTACCCAGCATCAGTTGTAAGGGGAAGGAGGACTAAGAGAAAAGGGAAGGGTGAAACTAAAAAGTGTGCTCTGTCATCTATAGTTTCAGGGGGCGGGAGTCTGCCCCTTAGGCATTCTCATCTGCTTGAGGCGTTTGGTATTGTAATTGAAATCAAGCCTTAGATCCCAGCCTGGTTTCAATCTTATCAACAAAGCATTCTACTGATCAGTTTCTGGGGTTCCTTGTCAACAGCCCCCCCCACCCCCACCCCCCCACCCCCCAACCCCACACCCCCACACCCCCAAACCCCACCCCCTGAGGCTCTTGGTCTTACTTTGTGATGAATAGCCTTCCCAGAGTGATCAAGCTTTCTGCTCTTAATTGATTTGAAAGGCACTTTACAGGGTTGGGCTCCTATACCTGACTGACTGGGCAGTTCTGACCTTGTATAGGAATGCAGCACCCATAGGTAAGAAAAATGGTAGCCGAACTGGCCGCTGAGGGTTAGCAGACACACAACAATGGAAGTGGCTAGAAATGGGAGACCCTTGACTCTGGCATCTTCAGTGAATGGGAAAGCTACTGAGTGGACATGCAACAGGGTGGTCCCCAGGAAAGGGGGAGGTTCCCTGCCCCACCCAAGGGAGGGTGGAGCTGAGCAGGGAGAGAAGAAGCAGAAGAAGAGACTGAGGAAGGAAGCAGGATGGAGCAAGGAGACCTGGAGGAGGTGCATGGAGCCTAGAGACACGTGAAGAAACTGCGCTTGTCTTTTGGTCGTGGACTGGGTGACACAGATGTGGGTGAGACCCGTGGGGAGGTGACAATGGCAGCTTTTATCTTGATGTTGATTTTGCTCTTTTCCTTCCGGGCTTGTCCACTTGTTTGTGACCCTTTTCTGTGGGTCCCCACTGGAAGATGCTTTAGACTTGTAGCAGGCTTTGGGGCCTTGTTCTGGGCCAATCCCATTTGGATGGACTTTTACCCACGAGGGGACGGGTAACTCTGGATGCTTCATTTAGAAACTAGACTCTTTGCCTTACCTGTATTGTTTCCTAGTTTTATTAAAGTTCCTTCCAATTAAAGTCTCCTATGTTTTGTGTTGATGCGGCAGATGGCAGAACCCATGTAGAATAGGCAGGTTTGCGGGGTTTGGGCTGCCCCTCTCCCTGTCCTATAACAGATTCTCCTTGGTAGCAAGATGAGGTTGGGGCATTCACAACTAGGTTCACGTGGGAATAACTCCCCAATTCCATTTTTGTTAAAGAGGAAAATCAGACTTAATACCTAAGACTTTGTATTCCAGGTAAGATACAACCTGATGGTCAACAAAATCCAAGATATGTAACAGGGTGGTGCCCAGGAAAAGGGGAATTTCCAAGTTCCCTGCCCCACCTAAAGGAAGGTGAAACTGAGCAGGGAGGAGAAGAAGCTGGGGAGGAAACTGAAGCAGGAAGGAAGCAGGATGAAAAGCAAGAGGGAGACCTGGAGGAGGCACATGGAACAGGGAGACATGTGAAGAAGTTGCACTTGTTTCTTCGTCTTGGACTGGTTGAAACAGATGTAGATGAGAGACCCTGTGGGGAGATGACAATGGCAGCATTTATCTTGGTTTTATTTTGCTCTTTTCCTCCCTGACTTGTCTGGCTGTTTCTGAGCCTTTTCTATGGGTCCCAGCAGGAAGGTGCTTTAGACTTGGGGCCAGCTTACGGGCCTTGCTCTGGGCCAATCCCATTTGGGTGGACTTTTACTCATGAGGGGATGGGTAAATTTGTGGGGTTTTCTTGTTTGTTTTTTAATTTTATATATTTTTACATCATTTTTCATTTTTGCACAATGTGTGCATTTCCATCTTGGTTATAGTCCCCATACAATTCCCACCCCCCTTGTTTTGATCCTACTCCCTCTCTTTCCCACCCCGTAGTGTATATCTGGTTTATAGTTGCTTGTTGGGGAAACCAATCCTAGATTATTTTATTATAATTAGTCTTTTTCCTGGTCCCTTATTTAGGTTTTCTAAATTCCTGCTATGAGTGAGACCATCCAGTATTTTTCTTTTTCTTTCAGGCTTATTTCGCTGAGCATGATCCCTTTCAGCTCCATCCATGTTGCTGCAAATTTTATGTGTTTATCTTTTTTGATTGCTGAGTAATATTCCATTGTGTATATGTACCACATCTTCTTGATCCAGTCATCTATTTTTGGGCATTTGGGTTGTTTCCAAAGCTTAGCTATTGTAAATAGTGCTGCTATAAACATAGGGTGCATGTGCCCTTTTGAATTAATGTTTCTGTGTCCTTTGGGTGAATACCTAGGAATGGAAAATATGCAGTGGAGCAAAGAAAGTTTGTTCAATAAATGGGGATGGGTAACTTTGGGTGCTTGATTTAGAGATTTTATTCTTTGTCTTTTCTGTATTGCACACTAATTTTTTTTTTTTTAAAGTTCCCTTCCATTAAAGGTCTTTTATGTTTTGTCTTGATGCGGTGGATGGCAGAACCTATTTAGAGTGGGCAGGTTTGGGGATTCTGTGGTGCCCCTCTCCCTGAGAAAACATCACATCCTTTCAAGAGAAGGGTGGTCACAGAGTTCTTTATGAAAGCCAAATGAGGATCTACACAGCACACATGTACACATGTGCATAGACACGTGTGCAACATACTGGAAAGATCTAATATTAGAAAGAACTTATTTGAAGGGGAGGATATGATCAGCCACACATCAGGTATCTAGTCCTCTCTGATTTCCCAAGTTCATTCATTTATTCAACAAGTACTTATTTTTTTTTTAAGATTTATTTATTTATTTATACAAGCACTGGGTACAGTCAGAAGCGCGGAGGGGTGAGAGAATTCACCAGAGCAAGAAGGGAGAGCAGAGCAGGCAGACTGACGAAGTACACTGCTGAGGGGAGCAGCGGGTGGCAGGAGAGGTCTGCACGCCATGTGGGACCCTCACTGGTGGCCGGGAATCGAACTGGCACTGCAGAGGCTGCAGGCAGCCTTGCAACCCAGCGCTCAACCACTGCCCCATCAGGGAGGCCCTCAACAAGTACTTATTAAGGACTAACTAGGTAGCAGGCATCATGTTAGATTTTAGAGATATAGAAAGGAACAAAAATTCCTGTTTATCAGGCTTATGCTCCATATTTTTTGTATGTGTATATGAATATGCATAAGAAATAAAGACTAAACAGAAAAAGAAGTGGAATGTAGATAAAATATCTCATAGGGAGACATTTAAGCAGAAGTTAGAGTCCTAGGGAGGTATCAACCAGGCCAATATCTCAGGAAGACCATTCCAGCTTGAACAGCTTGAAGAATTATTAATTGCAAAAACTATAGGCTACTAATTCATCTGCAAAGTACTTGGATTGGGGGACCAGGGGAGTTGAAGAATCCAGGGTAAGTTTGCAATCAGTCTAGCTTATATATCATATAACCATTACCAAAAAGCCTGCATGCTACCAATAAGTGTCTCCATCATTATTAGTGGGGCTTCCAGTCTTATTTTTTAGAGTTACAAGGACTCACATTCCATTCCAAATTCTGGTGTGTGCATGGTTATAAATTATACCCATAGTCATACTCATTTTATTGTACAACCGTTCTAGGCCAACCATAACTTTCCCCACCCATGAGTGCTAGTGACTGTTGGAGAAGATGAAGAAAAAGTCCTTGAATCTTACTATCTAATACATCTTGCTGCAATGTCGTGGCCTTGTCACGATCTCATTCTTCTGGGAAATTAATGGTCAAACAAGGGATATGAAAAGGAGTGGTAAGGGAGTTGTTCTAAGTCCCACTTTGATTTCTATGAGGAGTCTTGTGCTTTCCGTAACCTCACACATTCATTGGCATCTGTACGACAAATCTTCCACTTTTATTTTTGAATTAAAAATTAAGATTCCCAGGGGAAATTATGCAATGGGAAATTGACACTTCAATAAACTTGGCTCACACATTTTATTGATTATGGTAAATCTAATTATTGCAATAAAACCCGGGAAAACCCCCAAAAATTATTCTTTTCATGCTCCAGTGGTATATATTTCTTCCTATTATACCAGTACTTCCCTGATTAGAATCTACTTCCTCAAAAGTAATAAATAAATCAGGGGGTGATTCCAACTTAAGTTTGCCTCAATTGTCTCACAAAAATCTTAATGACTTTTTAACAACTTTTGTGGATGATTGGACACAAAGTACGACAAAGACACTTTAAGTACTCCTTCAAATAAATATTAAACTTAAAATATAATGAATGAATATTTTAAACTGAAAAAGATCAAATTATATACTTGCAATTACTCAAGACTCTGGATTCTGGTCAAAAATTTTTCTTTCAGTTTTTTCTTTTAAATTAAAAATCCTTAAGTTGTGCCTGATGTGAATCTTATTTTCTTTGTGGCAATTTCCCTGGGCTCAGTGACCTGTAAAAAGTCAGACTATTGGCTGTTGGGTGAAGGTTTCATTTTACTTGACATCCTGGGACTGGCTGGTGTATGATTTCTCGGCCCTCTGGCCTGTCTCTCTCCCACTACCTCCACTTCAGCAGGCCACTTCCAGAGGCCATGCCCTGAGGTCAGGAAATAAGGCTGACAAACCAAATGAAGTCCATCAGAGCTGAGAAGACCCCCTTCTTTCGCCAATCCTAGAGATTTAATCTTCTCTAAGACCCAAGTTCTTACTCATCTTTGAAGTACAACCATTTCCTTTTCCTCCTGATTTTTTTTTCAGGAATAAAAGAAAAAAATCACAGTGGCAACCAATTTTAATGGCTTTGACAAAAGAAAGAAGGAAGGAGAGGAAGGAAAGTAGACATTCCAAAGTGTTCTACATACCTAGATATGAAAGAGAATAGTTTTCTAAAGAAGTCTCTTCCAAGAAAAAGATCTATGTAATAAAGCCATAAACTATTACCTCACACCATCCACAAAAAAAAAAAAAAAAAAAAAAAAAACTCAAAATGGATTAAAGAACTAGACATAAGACCTGAAACCATAAAATATATAGAAGGAAATATAGGGGAAACACTACATGACATGCACCTCGGCAACATCCTTAAAGATTCATCACCCAAAGC